GAAGTCCCAGTTTTTATGAGTGCTAAAAATAAGTGCAAACATCAATTAAGAATGGTTTTCAGATGTGTGCCTATTTTACTGCTAAGCTGTACATTTAGAAAATTGCAGAAGCTGGCAGGATGAGCACTTCTGAGTTGTGAAATCTATGACCATCAATCAATTCCTGGGTGTGAAGCTTAGATTATGATTACAGAATGCACTCTGGACTTCACAGAAACTGTATCACTCTATTTTCTGGGAAAGAATGGCAATTCACTGCTCTCATTTACTGACATCAAATAATTATTCTCTGTGCTAAAAAATGCATGCCTATATCACTCTGTGATGCATGACAAGGTCTTCCAAATCATTCTTTTAGTACATTTCTATCTCACCCTTCCTTCATGGGCAGAATATGGGGTTCTCCCTCCCCATTTTATCCTCAAAAACCCTGTGAGACAGGTCAGGTTAAGAGGTCATAACTGGCCAAAGGCAATCCAGTGTGCATCGTCAATGAGTAAGGGTTTGAAACTTGGGCGTCCCAGTGCTTTGTCTAACACTCCAATCATTACATCACATTGGCTCTCAGTGCAAATTGTGGATGATGTGAAATCGTAAATTCACAGACATGCTAAGGCTGCAAATCCTATATCCACACTTGCTAGGATGTAAGTCCACTTGAAATCGATTTATTTCTGAGTAAATGTGACACAGGTTCATGCCACGAGGCTGCAATCCATTTTCCTTTTGCATGTACCCACAGCATTCAATCAGATTTACTTCTGATTTACTTTAGTTCCATATGATTGAACAGATACATTTCATAACTCTTGGCCAGAGCATCTTTCAGGGCAAGGCAGGGGGCAGAGGCAAATTAAGACAGTGCTCTTGCACCTTTAAGAGTTGCCATAGAAGCCACAACTATGAAACAGTTCAGGAGAACTTTCATCTCTGGCCACTCTACCCACTCCAGTCTGTTGGGATGGATGCTGTTAAACAGAAAACAAAAACTCACAAATGATGCCAAGAACCATTCTGCCAAACCACTTCCTACGCCAGAAACTTTTAGTATTATGCTGGGTCCCTATAATGGAATAACACCAGGTAACTTCAAAGCTGTATTCTGTCATTGTCCAAGCATTACTCAGGTAAAGACATTTAGTTAACATTTTTGAAACAGATTCAACACACACAATTTACCTAGAATGTGTATATATGGAAGACATAAACTGACCAGTGTTCTTTTTTTTTTTTTTTTTTTTTACATAGCTCTCTGCTCTCTTTCCCTCTCTATAGACTAAGGACCAGCCTACACAATAAGAAATTTGCAGTTGACCTTCTCTTTGTCTTTCAGTCCTAAAGAAGTGTGCAGAGCCCTGATACAGATTGGTAACCCTGCACATGAGAATGGGAACTTTCCATACAGACACCCTGACAGTTGCTTTCCAAAATTCACCCCCAGGCACTTGTTTTCCAGAAGCTTCCACTGGCAGAGTGGAGGACACTTTTCTGTCTTCCTTTGGTTCTGGCCAGGGTACGGGTGGGATTTCAACAAGACAAACTAGCTGTGGTGGAGGCGAGGCAAGGAGGGGGGGGATTAATACTTATTAATACCTATCTGCAGCTGTCCCCATCCCTGGATGAAAAATCTCAGAGGGGATCCATGACTTCAATTTCCAAATACAGCCCCCACCCCAACTTCATTTCATTTAAAAAAACAAAGCACAGCTTCTATAAGAATGCCACATCTGTCTTCCACGGAGCATCTAGCTTAGGCCTGATTTGTTTCATTCATGTGCTGCTGAAGATTATGCATAGAAATTCACATTTTCGAGGGCAGACAGTAAGATAAACCAGAACCTTCTCTAGGACAAGAAAGAGGTTAAGAACACAAATGCAAATTCTAAAAGAACAAGGCTGGGTTTTGTTAAAAGAAAAGATAGAGAAGGGAGCACAAATATCTTACTGAGATAGGAAAGGATTATGATGATGGTATAATGTTTATATCCCAACTTTATTATTCCTCATTACTACAGCTAAGATAAAAGAACACTGGGTTCTGTGACAGACTCATAGTTTCATTACACAGGAAAGTCTGAATGGGAAGTGGAGGGTTGCAGAAGACATGGGCAAATGTGAATAGGAGAACTAATGGTTAAGATCAGACGAGGGGAACTCCTTGTGGAAAGCCAGAGGAATAGGTTGGAGTGAGATGTTTTCTCAGCCACTTGTATGTGCATGCAGCATCCGGGTGGTGCCTTTGCCCGACTGCTACTTGGAGACAGTAGTAGTCGGGCAATATACAAAAACCTTAAATAAATAAATTCAGATGGCCTTTAAAAAAAAACAACCCTCAAGATGCTTTACATTTATAATAATGACTTGTCGTTTAAGAGACAAAAGGAAAAAAAGGCAAGTGTTTTAACCATGGGGCCTGATCCAGCCAAGGCACATAATTTTAGATTCAAGAATACTGAGGAAGAAATAAAATCACCTGTGTTTACAGTTAGGATATAAAGTTTATCACTTATATTCTGCTATACTAGTCTGAAGACTCCCTAAGTGGATTGCAATATTACATAAAATAGCTGTTTTTACTGTTTTGTATTGTTTTATGAACTGTTGTAAACTTCCCAGAAAGCTTCAGCTCTTGGGCTTTACAGAAATGAAATAAAGTAAGAATAAGTAAATAAATATGGTAGCAGAATGTAAACAAGCCAAAGAAAACACATGCTACACTTCTCTGTGACTGGTGGTACCCTGAACAGCCAGAGGATGCTCCAAGGGCCTCTAAAGTTGCCAGACACGCAACATGTCACTTCCTGTCCCCAGGCCAAGAATGAAAGAAAAAAGCCTCTTGCCATGGCTTACTACTGCAGAATCTGCCAGTAAGCACACAGGCTGTACCTGTCCCCCACCCATTCCTGGGTGTAAAGCTGCTTCTGCAAAGCAAACAGTTTGGCTCTCACAGCATGGGCAGGACTTATCTACAGAATACTTAGGGAAGGCAGCTTTTACGCATTTATCTCTGCTGCTCTTCCCAATGAGGTGAAGGCCATGAGGCCTGGGGATACCTTTAAGAAACTATTCTGGCCTTTGAACACTGGGAAAGTTCAATACACTACTTGTTGAAGAGGAATAACCTCCTTACCATTCTTACACTAGACCTATACAATACAGAAAGGGGGGGGGGGGAGAGAAATACAGGTTTAATTTTGTTCTCCCCTTACTTCCAATTGCAACACTCCAATCACTGCTTTTCATCAATATACACAGTGTGTGTTTTATATATACATTTGTTTTAAAAAGCAACAACCAGGGAAATTGATTTAAGACCTAGTTACTTTGTTACCGTGGAATAGCTCAGTAAGTCATCTGGCTTTCTTTCTTTTTTCCTTTCCTTCCAGGAAGATAAGAACACTAAAATTAAGAAGGTAATATCCCTGAGATTGTGATAAGATATCTACTTTCACAATTCAACAACGGCTTTAGAAGACACAGGAGTCCATAGCATTCCATCGCTGCTGCCACAGAGCTGAAGAATAGCTGCTCTCCATTACTGCAGGTAGGACCTGAAGGAAGGTGATTTAATGAAAGGCTAGTATTTTTAGTACAAGGAGAGAGGTGGAGTAATGGGAGTAGGCAAGATGTTACGTTTTCCTTACCGTCCAGACACTGGGGCCAAACTAAGTGAGGGAGCAACTTCTAGGGGCCCATGGGGATACTGTGGATTCTCAGATCGGAGGTTGAGTCAGACTTCAGACCTTATTGCTGTGAGTGTAGGCACTGTACCCTTCCCCTTCGCAGCTGGCACTGAAAGGCTTGTTACTGAAAGTAACAAGCTGGGTTGCACCTCTCTCTCCCCTCCAAAACCCTACAAATCTCCAAGTACTGTAGAGTGGAGGGGGACAACACAGAAGGTAGCTGTGATTCAAACTTCCCAGCTGATTCAAACTTCAACTTCCAAAAATCCCTACCAGAACTGCCTATCTCAGGAATGCTGTGAGTTCAAGTGCAAAACATACAGTGAGCTTGATAATGGATGACCTTGAAGAAAAGAAGCCAAGGAAGGGAAAACCTACACTGGGGTGGGAAATTTGTGACCTTCTGGATGTTGCGTGCAGCAGAGTCACAGGTCAGAAATGGTGGGAGTTGTTGGGCAGAACTTTTGCAACTGGCCCATCCCTGTCCTGAACTCTACAGAGGCTGCAGTGAGCAGAGGCAATAAGACAATAGGCTTAAACAGCTAAGAGGAAGACCATCACAGAGGAAAATGAATGGCAGTCTTCTTGCATCCCCAGCTATGGAGGTATGGAAATTGAGAGTGCTTATTAAAAAGTAGCTGTTTGTCTTTTGCTGCAAAAACTATCAAAGCTCTGTGACTCTTTGAGGACTAGGCGCTTTCGGTGGCTTTCATAGGAATGCATATTTGTTAGCCAGAGGACTTTCTCATTTCTATAAAACTTTTACCCGTGAAGGGGGTGGGGAGAGGGTTCGGGAAGATGAGTCCATGCCAGTTGGCTAGGGAGCCTGCAGCTTCCCAAGCATTATCCTTCCCAACTTTCTTGGCCCAAATCTACACATGGGGCAGAATAAGAGTCCTGAGGTATTATGGCAAACGGTTGCCCCGTGGGGGCAGGGACATATATTCTGTGACTCCTTCTCACATGAAAACGCCCACCAACTTCCTGTAAATAGAAAAGCAGCCAAAAAAAAAAAAAAAAAGTCCCGTGCTTCTCCCATACCCAGGCAAGTTTTCCACTGGCGTGTGTCTCTTTAGCTGGATTTGCCCACCTGATTTGCCCACCTGAAGTGGACCAGCCCGTGCTAAGGGCTCGCTCCCCTCGCAGTTTAAGGAGCCTGAATCGCGGCCCGGTGTGTGTGTGTTGTGGGGGGGGGGTTAATATTTAACCGGGCCGCTTCGTTCTTTCGGGCCACTCACGGCGCAGCGACTGTCACACCCAGCTGCTGCCCGGCCACTCCTGGGGAGGTCAGTGACGGGCGAGACTCGCAGCCGCCTCATTGTCAAGGACCGTCTTTCAAAGAAAGTGCCATGTGTCGGCCGTGCCGGGCGCGCCTACGGAGCTGTTCTCGTTCCTCTTCCGACAGAAAGCAGCGCGGACCGCGGCGGCTACGAAAGTTCTCCTTTGACCCTCGCAGTTTAAGGAGCTTTGTGCCGGCCATGAGGAAAGCGGCTGCAACCAGCTCCTTTATGCAAGGGAGACCTTACAGGGGTCTTTGCAAAAATGCGGAGCAGGAGTCAAATTGGCTGCAGGTTAATGACTCGAGTCGCCCACGTGGAGGCTGCGTGCTCCCAGTGCGCGCGGGCCGCTTCGGGAGCGACGAGTGGCCGCCCGCCTCTCCACGTCCCAGAGTTAAGGGCGCCATCCTGAGCATCTATGGACAAAAGAAGCCCTCTATCCTTCAACAGTTCTCAGCCAGTCATGCTGGGAAGTGACTGGGAGCACTGGCTGGGAACCGTAGGGTTTTCCCCGTTTAAACACGGACAGAAGCATGTCGTCCCCGCGCGATCCTAGGCGTGTTGACTCAGGAGCGAGTTCAGTAGGTTTGCTCTCGGCAAAGCGGGCACAGGATTGCAGCGTGAAGCCGGCTTCGGCTGGGGATCCACAAACAACGGGGCGCGCAGGCCGATCGCGCCTCTCCGGGGCGGACAAGCACCCCCCCCCCCGCTCCTGCCTCCCCTCCGGTCGCTCCCGCCACGCCGGGCTGCTCCGTGCGAGCGAGCGAGCCCCACGTCCAGCGTGCAGCTCTGGCGCCTGGCACCTCCGCTAGGGAAGCCTTCCCGCGCTGCCCGGAGGGGCTCAACTGCTGGTGCCCACCAGCCCACCCAAGGCGCGCGGGGAGGGGCGCAGGGCCGGGTCCAGCCCTTGGAGAGAGGCAGCGCCGGGGCGCACACCTGCCGGGGGCGCGCTGTCGGGCGCCGGCCGCGTGTTGCAGCCGCAGCAGCAGCAGCGCCTGCTTTTGCGCAGGGAAGAAAAGAGGGAGGGGAAAGGAAAGTTTCATCATCGCTTCGGAGAACGGGCTGACTTATAAAAACGGCGCTCTCCCTCTCTTCCAGACTGGCTCATGGGAAGCTTGAGGAGGAGGCGGGAAGGGAGAAGGAGGCAGGCGCAGCATCTGACCTCGGTACTCCTTCGGTCAAGCCGCCGGGGCGCGGGAGCTCACTTGCTGTCTTGTCTTCTAAGGCCTCGCCTGATCGTGCCGATCCAGCCATGGGGATCCAGCCTGACGGCGGCAAGGCGCCCAGAACCGGGAATGACCCCGCGGCTTTCAGCACCTGCTCCGGGAGTATCTTCTGCAACATCAGGGTAAGCGGCTCCTCAGCACAACGGAACAGGTTCCACCGGCGAGCGAGTTTATTAATAAGCATGCTTGCTTTTTGTATTTAAAAGGGTCGACATGTTCTGTCTGAAACATGCTCACTCCGTAAGAGAACAGTTAGCCTCGCTGCTACTTCTGCAACCTCTCTAGTCTGATGTCAACGGAAGCGCCTGTTCGGTTTGTGTTGCATCACAGTGATTCCACACTCGTGCAGGTGGCTTCGTGTCTATTAAACTGGAGTAACCTCCTGGAGAGCAGTGCGCAGGATATCATACTGGCTTAATCGCTGCTAATGGACTAATGGGACTAAACGTTTAATTCGTCCTCTCTAAGGAGCGCTTATGTTGGATTTTGCCCTTGAAGTTTCAGTGCTACCTTCTCTACTCAGATTCAAATGAGCCGCCAAGTTTAAAGGGTGTGTGGATTGGTTGTATATAATTCCCTGAGCTGGGCGGGTTAATGCTGCACGCTTTACCTGGAGGTAAACCTTGTTGTTGGACCCAGTAGAATTTGCTTACAATTAAACACACACTGAATTGGGCTCTAAGGTTGCAATCCCGGGCATACCTACCTGGGAATAAGCCCCTCTGAATATGCTGGGTTGTACTTCTGGGTGAATAAAGGGCTTTTACTTCTGAGTAAACAAGTAGTGAATATGTTGCCCCATAGTGCACTCTGATTAGGGTTAGGTAGGGATTATTTTCCAATAAATATTATATTATAAATAAAAACATTTCTAGTGATTACTGAAGCATTTCCTCATGAACAGACTTGGGGCTTTGTGTACTCTTTCACCCTTAATCAGATAGGTTATGCTGGAATTGTCCCTGGTTTTAAGCCCAAAGGCCATATGATTCTTCTGCAGGTGGGCCAGCTATTGTGCTAGCATAAGTTTTCATTTCTCCTCTGGAGCCAAAGCCTTGCTGATCTTTGCTATCTGGAAACCTGGTTGTACTTTTTTTACTTTTGGTGTGGCTGTTAATCTTCCTGGAGAAGAATTTCATTGCCTCACTTACCCTCCCCTGTCAGGAGTGACTCCAGGTATGTGGTTGAAACTTGCCCAAGGCTCCCTGGGAACAGCTGTGGCCCTCAAAGGTGCACACCTCCTACCCTTTGGGCATCGGAGCAATAAAGACACTCTAAAGAAGCAGCAGTTTTTGCTGAGGGGGTTAAGTTAAACATGCTGATGGATGGTGCTTTGACAAAGTACAGACCAGCTTTGCAATAGATTTTCCTCATCAAGAGAAACAGGAGGGCAGCTGCTAACCAGCTGGGGGAAGAGGCCTGAGACTGAGCCCCTCACTTAGCAATGAATGGCCACCAAGGAAGTTCAGAGCCGTGAGACACCAATGGGATAGAACAAAAGCATAGTGGCTGCATTTAGCGGAAGAGAAGGCTCCAGAACAGTGCATGTCACATTAAGTGCCTGGTTTGCATCTGTGACGTGGAGGTGGAGCTGGAGCGGGATCATGGCAGAAGTGAAGCTGAGGGGGAATTAATCAGTTTCCCTTGTACTGGGATACCAGGAGCAAGTTCCCTCCCAGGCTAATAGTGTAATATTATCCATGTTTAGATTGGGGGGGGGGGAGTCCCCCTAGTCCCATAAATCAAAAAAAGTCCCATAAATCAAGAATAACTCCAGGCAGCTGGGGCTTGTAGGATTATTTTCTGACTAAATATACACTAGATTGCATCACAGATAGCTGCTGGTGGAGACTGTCATCAGTACTGCAACTTGGGGCAATGGTTTAAATTCCTCCATCCCTCTATAGTAGAAATCTGTACCCCACTGCATGACTCCTTAAAAAATATATCCAGGCAAGCCATGCATTTAATACACCATACAGTTTGGTATGTCTTCCATTAAGTGTACACATAATTGGAAGTACCTTCCATTGAAATCCACATCAGTATCAAGTTTATTGCTAATAGTTTACAGACATGAATGTTCTGAAGGCATATGTTTGATTCCATACAATGTAGAGAAAATAAACTCAACAATAGAAGAGAGTCCACTAGGAATACCTTTTCATTATTAAACAAAATTAAAATAGATTAAGACAAAATTAGAACAACCATTATTCTGCAGAAGTTGATTGTACAAGTTTTGTAGCTGCCCTTGTGTCAGTGGCTTTTCCTCCAAGTGAGTGCTAGTAGTGCTGCAGCATTACAGGTAATTCTGGTAGCTTGATTTTTGGGTTCCTGCAAATCAAAGATGAGAGGACATGCTCAGGGAAATTAATGTAGCTGGGCAAAATTTGCTCAAGGGGGAAGCTGGCATGCAAGAAGGAATATTAAAGATAATGATGTAAGAGTGTGATTTGTGTTTGTACGAATCAAGAATGCTCCGAATTTGAAAAGTGGAAAGAGAGAAAAGCCTTGGGGAAGCCAAAGCAGCTGCACGGCAGAGTTATGCAGATGTTGAGATGAACAGCTTCATACAGAAGAAGTACATAACTCACTTAAAGAACAATCTTGTGCCTGTAGGACAGGAAATTCTGTAGGACAGAAGTCCTACAACTCCCAGCATTCCCCAATCAGCCATGTTGGCTAGGGAGTTGTAGAACTTTTTTCCTGTCTCTATCTGCATAGATATGTGCATTTAGATTACAGTCTTCTTGGCGATAGAGGTAGGGGTGAAATTACTATAAGTTGTTCTAAGTCCCAAGGAAAAAGTGGAGACATAAATAGGTAGAACTGTCATCACAGAAAAGTGGTCTTTCAGAGTTTCAGCTAACTGTGATCAGTAATGTCTAGAGAGATACTTGATCCTTTTTCTGCTTTGAGTGGCACAGCAATGAGGGCAGTACCCCTACCCAGCAATTCCCAGTTGCACTTTCCAGAGCAGGCAAAGCAGTACAAGTTGTATGTTTTTACAGCTCAGCCTTATGTAAGAGTGCTGTTTACATCAGGACAATAGCACCAGGTAAGGTTTCATCTGCACTCCTATAGTAAGCCTGGGTTTTTATGAGGCAGAATCTATAAGCACTTTGACTGACCCAAGGCTTGCAGGAAGGAAAGTCTAAAGATACAGTCTTGAGACTAAATCTCCCTCCCCTAGAATTCTTTTAGGTCAAAAGCAAACCTGTAGTTGGTCCCCTTCCTTGCATTCTTTGGTTTGGTCCTGAGACTTTGGTTGCGAAATTCCCCTTTGGTTGCAGAAATGGCTTTTTGCAGAGAGAGCTGCTGGCCAGGAGATACCGCCTGACAAGCTGTCCTTAACAGAAAAGTGACAGCTGCTGGCACTGTCAGTGTGTCTCCAGTGCAGTGTTCTGCACAGAATCACTTACATTAGTGGATTACATGGTGACTGACCTGCATGTGGTTTGCATAAAAACATTGTTGAACTTGAGAAAAGCATGTTGTACCATTCTGGCATTAGACCCCAACAAGGTTACGTAAATTAACATGTGTCTTGTATATTTGGTACCCGTCTCTTAGGGTGAAATCCCATATGTGCTTAGACAGAAAAAGGCCTACAGTGCCCAGGACATGCTGCAACTAAAGTTGTAGGACTTTCTCTCTGAATGGGATTTTTGCATAGTACCTCGTCAATCCTGTCCTTCCACCAAGAAGCTCATAGTTCTTTTCTCCCACCTCCTACCCTTGTTTTGGCCTCACAACAATCTTATGAGGTAGGCTGCGCTGAGAGAGAGGACAAGCCCAAGTTCTCTCCCATTTCCTCTCATAATAGCAAGAACCCAAGGTCATCCCATGAAACTAAATGGTAGAAGATACAGGACAGATAAAGAGAAGTACTTCTTCACATAGTGCTTGGAACTACAGAATTCACTACCACAACATAACTTGATGGCCATCAATTTGAATGGATTTAAAAGGAGATCAGATAAATCCAGGAAGGATAAGGTGATCAATGCCTGTTGATCAATTGGCATTGCTACATGGACCTTTGGCCTGCCTGGAATCCACCCAGAGAAGAGCCTTCACATAGCGCCTCCATTTCTGTGGAAAGCCCTGCCTGTGTTCCTCAGGCAGGCACCAAAGCGGTCTTTTTTGGCAGCTCCTGAAAGCATCTTTATGTCAAGAAAGCTTCCTTGACTGGCCAGTGACAGTTCTGTTGATATCCTGTTTTATTCTTTATTTGGTTTTTATCTTTTTAGCACTCACTGTTAAGCTTTGGAAGTGGATAAATCCTTTGTACTATCTCTGGCTTCAGAGGTGGTTTGCCACTATGTAGCAGTTGCTGGAGAATGTGGGCAGAAAGGTATTATCGCAGTCGTGTGCTACCTGTGGCCTTCCACGGGCAGTTTCTTGGCTGTTGTGTGCAGAATGCTCGGCCAGAGAGAACTTTAGCCTGATCAGGCCAAACTCTTACGTTCTTAAGGTTAGTCAGCAAGCTTTGAAGTTGAACAGAGATTTGAACCCAGCTTTCTGCACTGTTTGTCCAACACTGTAGCCCCACTCCATTTCTCTGGCTTTTCTGATCCTTGACTGAAGGATCAAGAAGACCAGGGATGAGAGCCTGTGGCCTCCCAGATGTTGGTAGACTGCAAGTACCATCTGCCCTACCTGCAAAGCCAATGATGTGGGATGATGGGAGTTACAGTCCAGCAACATCCAAAGGAATCTTAACACTGTCATTTCTGCATGGGTCCATTGCTATTGTTAGAGCTGTATGCAGCAACATGGTAATTCAGGTTCTCAGCAGAAATATTTTGCAGGTGTGCCCTCTCTGATCAGACACCACAGATATGCTAGAAATGGATTCTAATTTTACACAATGTGCACACATCAATTAGCATTGCATGCCTGTCTGCTTCATGTCTGCTAAGGTGGTTTTTTTCCCTCAAGATACCATCTTAAAGAGGGTCTCCAATGGGATGGTTGTGTTTCACAGTGTGCACCATTAGAATGTATGTTTGGCCACCATTGATGGGTTCCAATGGAGGCCCACCTATTCTGAAGACTCCTCCACAATTCATTACCTGCACACTGAAGGAAATTCTGGCACCAATACAATGCTTTT